CATTTTTTCGGTATTCCCATACCAAACCGAAAATAAATATTATATATATATATATGTATTTTTTTTAATTATAAAAGAATTATTTGAACCGTTGATTGTTTTGGATTTAATCTAGAGAACTTTAACGAAAAGCACCCGGTACTGTTCACTTTAATGAAAAACCACATTTTTACACTAAAAAGTCAATCATAGTACTATTCACTTTACCTTTTATTTTGTCCTTATCATTAAAACTCAAAATTTTCAAGCTCTTTTCATTAGTTTCCTTTTAATCTATGTCGTTGGTTTGTTTTTAGGTCAGTATGCTGCATACGGCATACCATTTCACTTTCACAGTCCACTTCACTTCAGTTCACTTCCCTTCCATTTCTATCGAATAGCCGAGCGGCCGAGCCCTCCTCATCTCATCTCTGATCTCTCCATTACCGAGCCGGCGAGCCCTCAGCTCATTTCTCTCTCTCTCTGACGAATTCCGGCTAGCCACCGGCCACCGCCACATCTGACTCTCCAGCCTTCCTTCACCACACAGCCACCTGTACGCCACCTTTCTCTGTCGCGACGATCTATCTCTGGGGAACTCTCCATCCAGCACTGAGTTCAAATCTCTATCATCCCAAATTAGGTAATTAATTTAATTTAGTGTTTTGAAATCTAATTTCTGTCTTCCTTTTGAAATTTAACTTAGGGTTTGGAATTAATTTTGTGTATTATTCCCCCATTTTTTTTCTTCAATTTTTCTGTATTATTCAGCGGAAGATTCAATTTCCAACTGGGTTCTCGAATTCGTGAGCTTTTTATCAAAAGGTACGTTTTTGTTTGATAAAGTTCATTATTTGAGTATGTGAGTTCGAATTTACGGCATTTGGGAGTTCGAATCATTGTGTATTGCCATTTGGGTATCTGTATGTGGGTGTGAATCTGTATTGTGGGTTCGAATTTGAGTTCGAATATGTATGTGGTGTGGCCCTGTGGGTGTGAATCTGAACGGATTGATTTCAGTGCATAAATTTTCAATTTTGTTATCACATTTCTGAACTATCAAAGGTTAACTCAATGGTTGTAAGCACCAAAGGGAAAAATGGTTAAGTGAACATTGTTCGCTCAGTCTTTCCGTCAAACACCTCGGGTTCAATTTCATTTTCTGGAATGCAGAATAACAAACTTGAAGTTTAGATTGAATTGCTCTGATTAGTTAAGCAAAGCACAAATATGCCCAATCATCGCATTTTTTTCTTTTTTTAATTGTTATTGCAACCTTTACTAGTTCACATCTAACTGGGTTCTTTTCATTCTTACACGCCTAATTTTTATTTTTAGTTTTTTAAACAATATCTGGGAACTTCTCTTACTTTTAAGTTTAACTGATTGCAGTGCTATGTGGGTATTAGAAAACGAAGACTAGGTTTCTCTGTGATCCTCTGTGTAGCGTGTTGTATGTTTATTTCTAGTCGACACTGGTTCTTGGGAAATTCTGCAGAGAACTATTTGTTTCGTGAGCAATCATCCCTGTAATAACTAGTTTTTAGCAAAATGCGTGCTTACATTTGCTAAATTTTGGACATGATGCACCGACGTTTTGTTTTTCAACCTTATCAAACATTGTTATGTTGCAGGCAGAGATAGCCAGACAAGAAGCTAGGGGCCGAAGAGGCCAACAATCTTCATAAACTTTAAGCTTTGCTTTTTTTGCTTTTGGTTTGTAACTTAATTATTTTGAAAATTTGTCTCATAACTAATTTTTTTGCCTTTGGGTTTGTTACTTTATTTATTTTAAAACCTTGGCTTGTAACTAATTTTTTTTGCTTTTGGATTTGTCACTTAATTTATTTTTATTGCATGCATGTGTAGTAGAAATTGAATAGGCAAATTAAGGATGCTATTGTGCACAGATTTCAGATTGGCGGATTGCATTCAGATTGGCAGATTTGTGTAGATTCAAATTTTAGTGTAACAACAAATTGGGCAGATTGGCAGCCTGCCCAAAAGCTCAAATTTTCAATATAAAATGTTGAATTTTAGCCCAAAAGCATATATGTTAAATTTAGTCCAAAATCCCATAAGCCCAAAACTATTTCGGGATTCTTGATTTGTCTTGAAATCCCGAAAATATTTTGGGATTCCCGAAAATTGGGATCGCTATTAAAATTGAGATTTCCAAAAATTTTGGTTTGGAAATCGGGACAAGTGTTTTGGTTCGGTATCCCATACCGAACCACCCCTACCTAGGACACCCGAATCTTTGGTGCTACACAGCACGTTGCACATCGTACCACATATGTGTAATTCACCTTTTTGATTCATTGAAAACGGGACGGAAAACGGAAGTCCAGAAGCAAAAAGGATAAATAATCTAGTGGTGGGATGGGGTGCCATTAATTTACAGAATGCTAGTAAGATACATCCAGTCATTCCTCATATCATCATCTTATACATATCCTAAATTGTCATTTTGGGATACACCCCCTCACTTATCAATGTTCACTAGTTAAAAAGAAGTTGAGCAAATCCTTGTTGCTAAACAATAGAAAAAACATGAGCAAATCCTTGCTAAACATGAATGATTTTGTATCAAACAGTACATAGCACAGACCAAAAAGAAGAATAAAGAAATCATTGTGAAGAGTGTGGAGTGTATCCGTGTATGTAGAAAATGTAGGGGACCAATGTAAAACGTATGTTGAGAGAGTGGAGTGTAAATGTATTATGGAAAAATATGTGTGAGTATATAAATTTTGATTGGAAAAGTAAATGTAGGGTGTATGAAGTACGTTAGGTTTATTCAATAATATGTGGAGTGTTAATATAATAAGCTTAGTTTCCTAAATAAAGGAAAACTAATAAAAATGACTTGTAAACTTTGAGTTTTAACCACAAAGACAAAATAAAGGGTAAAGTGAATAGTACCAGGATTGACTTTTTAGTGTAAAAATATGATTTTTTGTTAGAGTAAACTGTCGGTTTACCCCCTGAACTTTCACCTCACTTTCGATTTCCCCCCTGAACTTTTTCATTGGAAAATTAAGGACTCAAACTAATTTTTTTAGCCAATTTGCCCCCTACCGTTAGTTTTTCATATATTCCATCCATATTTCCGTTAAGTGAGACCATGTGCACAACATGTGAGGGTAGTTAAGTTATTTCACTCTTAAAAATGATTAAAAAACTGAAAATAATAAAAAAAGCAAAACTTTCCCTCTATTTTTTCCCGCTAATTCCTATCCTCGATTTTATTTTTCCCTCTCATTCCTATGCTGAGAAATGACATATGGTGTTATTGTCTACCATTTTTTATTTTTCTCTAACAAATTAATAATTTGACAAATGCTAATGGTGCTATTGTCTCCAAAGCAGTGCATTAATATAAGAAACCCTAGTATTTTTTATGGACATGTTTCTTATATTAATGCACTGCTTTGGAGACAATAACACCATGAGCATTTGTCAAATTATTAATTGTTAGAGAAAATAAAAATGGTAGTACATGCTTCAAAAAAAAAGATTAACTTAGCTACTTATGAAGACAATAACACCATATGTTATTTCTCATGCATAGGAATGAGAGGGAAAATTAAAATTGAGGATAGGAATTAGCGGGAAAAAATAGAGGGAAAATTAATTATTATTTATTTTCAGTTTTTAATCATTTTTAAATTGAAATGACTTAATTATCCTCACATGTTATGCACATGGTCTCACTTAACGGAAATATGGATGGAATATATGAAAAACTAACGGTAGGGGGCAAATTGACTAAAAAAATTAGTTTGAGTCCTTAATTTTCCAATAGAAAAGTTCAGGGGGGAAATCGAAAGTGAGGTGAAAGTTCAGGGGGTAAACCGACAGTTTACCCTTTTTTGTTAAAATAAACAGTACCAAGAGTTTTTAGTTAAAGTTATATTTAAATAAACATAAAATGAAGAAATGATATTATATTATTGTATGTTGCCATTTACTATTATTATATAACATAAATTTGAAAGTGCTTATTTCCAAATTCCAAGTTAATCTACACCGCTGGTTTTTTTTAACTTCTTTGAAAAGGCTAAATATGGTAAAAAAATTGTTAAATGGGACAAATCTCTTCAAAGACTCTAGCCTCTGCTGAACGTGCAGTTAGAAGTTAATTCCGCGGTGGTGCTCAACCGAATTGATGCAAATCTTGGTGCACATATTTCAGATTGGCAGATTGCATTCAGATTGGCAGATTTGTGTAGATTCAAATTTTAGTGTAACAACAAATTGGGCAGATTGGCAGCCTGCCTAAAAACCCAAATTTTTAATATAAAATGTTGAATTTTAGCCCAAAAGCATAATATGTTAAATTTAGTCCAAAACCTCAAAAGCCCAAAACTATTTCGGGATTTCCGATTTGTCCTGAAATCCCGAAAATATTTTGGGATTCCCGAAAATTGGGATCGGTATTGAAATTGGGATTCTCGAAAATTTTGGTTTGGGAATCGGGACAAGTGTTTTGGTTCGGTATCCCATACCGAACCACCCCTAGTAAGAATGAAGGTTCATGTACTGCAGTTCCTTCCATTTCACTTTGCTTCCGTACCACGTCACTCCTTTCAATTTTCTCAGCAACCGGTTTTTTATTCCTGACGAGAAGCAATGCCTCGTTCACATCGCTTGTTCCCTGCACATTCAGCATATCTAATCCAGCTGTAGGTGATAAAGTTCAGGTAAATTGTAATGCATTCCGACCTCTAGTTTGAATTTGATCTTGAAGGACACCACCTTCTTCAATTTTGCTTGATCACCGCCTGAATATGTTGCACTGAAGCAAAGTCTGCCTCACATCTCTTGCTACTTGCACTTTTTGAAGCGATTCATCCAATCTCAGAAGCAAAAACTAGAAATAGTAGTATTTGGCGAATTGGGTGGCTCCGGTTGCTCATGGAGGAGGAGGCGCCGTAATAGTGGGAGAGGCCTGACCCCCTCCTCCCTGAGTCAAAGGTCAACCGCTGAAGATTCAAAGTCCAACTGCCCCTATTGTCAAAAAGTCGTATGACTCGTATCTTCCAATTATTCTTTTTTTTTTTTTGTGTGTAAACACATAAAAAGTTACAAAGTGCAATAATTCTTACTCATGAATTCATAAATAGAGTAAAGGTGGAAAACTCAAGAAATTAGTTTTACAAAACTATCTACTGTTTTCCAAACTTTCAAAATAACGGTTGTGTATAGGAGTAATTTGAAGATTTGATAGAATGGAGGCAAAAATTACTCCCACTTCATGTCAGACCGGTTGGACCCTTCGAACGATCAGCCGGCACTTGGGAAGGTTCACTTTTCTGAAGCTGCTCCAATGTTATTACCACGTCGTTCATGTTTGGCCTAGACTTGGGGTCTGCTGCTAAGCAGTGAATTGCTAGATTAACTACTTTGAGAGCGTCACTCAAAGAGTACTGTCCTTCAATACGAGCATCAAAAATTTTGGAAACTTTGCGTTTGCTGGCAAGGTAAGGCTTGGCCCATTCAACTAAATTGTGTTCTCCGGATGGCCGATTCTTGTCCACAACTGGTCTGCCAGACACCATTTCGAGCAGAACAACTCCAAAACTATACACATTAATTTTGGCAGTGAATTGACCTAAAAAAACAAAAATACAGAAGAAAAAAAAAAAAAGGATCAGAAGGGAGTGATCATGCATTGTAGATCAAATCTAAGATAAAAATAATGCATTGTGGTAGCTGCAACACTGGTGAAGGTGAAGAGTGGTGGAGACGAAGCCTCTTAGAAGTATAATCTAAACAATTTGTTCCTACACAATTTTAACCTACAACACTCATGTGTAATGCAAATAAAGGATGGAGAATGTCCTAATCCATGAAACAATCACCATTTTATTCTAAAGAGGATAGAAACGTGGCTCTAGTTTTCAGATGCAAATATTTGGGATGTTGTTTTGAGTGATCAAATTGAACTGAACTGATTAATAATACATGAAGTTGAAGGCGCAAACACAGAATATTGCAAGAAACAGAACATGGCCATTCAAAACGTACACATGTTTTCCCCCTTTTCGGGGTAGTTTGCTTTTGTAAGTGAACCCAATACTGTAAACTAAAGTACCTGTGGCTATATACTCAGGAGCTGCATACCCATATGTCCCCAAGACCCTTGATGAGACATGGGTTTTATCACTGGCTGGCCAACCCCAGGCCAGACCAAAATTTGAAAGTTTAGCATTGTTCATCTGTGGTTTTTCAATAAAAATTTGATGTGTGAGCAAATCTACACCAACTATTCTAGAAGAAAAAAACAATAGTTAAAGGGTTTTTATCACGATTGCTTCCCGAAAATTGGACATTTCAATCAAGATTGTCACTGATATAAAAAAATCAATCAGTTTGGTCCCTAAAAAGAGATCTCCCAAATCAATTTAGTCCTTCCGTTGTCTTTCTGTCAATTTTTCTGTTAGTGTAGTGATGCGGCACTGAGTAGGTCATCCTATCTAATCATATGGCGCCATGTAAAAAAACTATTTATTAAAACAGGTTTTTTTTTTTTTTTTTTTTTTTTGGTTGAACTAAAAGTGTTAAAAAATAAAAATAAAAAGAACAACATCAATGTTGTCTTCATCTCTCACTCAGGTGGAGAATTGAAGATCGTTTTCAAGCAATTCCAATCAATTAGATTTTCCCAGCAACCAAACAACAGGTAACAAGCTTGGGATCTCAAATTCATCGGCTAGGAGATTGGGCTCAGCTTCATCGAGAGAGACTCGTCGCTGTTGTGGTAGTTCACAATCTTCATGTCCTCCCTTCTCTTGTCCGGTCTGATCGGCTATTACGGCTTTCTCACTGCCGTGTTCGTCATCGCAGCATCAATCTTGGCAACGGACGGCGGAGATGAATTGGGAGGCTGCGTGTGCCTCAATGAAGAAGACGTTGTTTCTTTTTTTGTTCTTTTTAGTTTTAGTTTTAAATCTTTTAAAAAATTGGTTTTTATGGTTGATCTACATGGCGCCATATGATTGGTTGGGTAAGACCCACCCTGTGCCATATCAGCATACTAATAGAAACTTTGACGGAAAGACAACGGAACGACCACATTGATTTGCAAAACCCATTTTCAAGGACTAAATTGAATTTTCTATTTCATGCATCATTTTGATTGAAAGGTCTAATTTCAGAGACAACCGTGTTAAAAGTTCACTTACCGAATCCAGCAGGATATCAGAAGTTTTGAAGTCACGATAAATCACTTGCAGATCACTGCTAAGAAATGCTAGACCCTTAGCAGCACCAAGGGCAATCCTCATACGAAGGTTCCACGGAAGTGGTTGAAAGAAAGAAGACTCTGTTCCACCAACAACATTTAAGTATCCAAATTATACTTTGTAGTGAAACAGTTGATCTCCTTAGCAACGGTAATGCTGATTTTAACGATCAAATGGCTAAAGAGTGAAGGAAGTTCATAACTCACTGTTAAATAGATGTCTATCCAAGCTTCCGCGAGGCATAAATTCATACACCAAAAGTCGGTGGTCATCCTCTAAGCAGTAACCAATCAACCTCACAAGATTTTCATGATGCAGCTGCCCAAGGTAGTTGATTTCCGCCTAGCGTTCAAGAGGCTCCACAAAATTAATAAATGATTCTCTAAAAATGTTACGAGTAAGACTATCTATTTGTAACAACTATTAAGGAGCAAAATGTAAGAATAATCTGACCTTTAAAGATCAAAGAAGGTGAAGTCATAGCGGACTTCAATAGTAAGCCTTCTTCTCTCTTGCAAAAACAACATGCTCGACTCACAATAGGTCTAAGTCCAATTATGAGCCAGTTTTACTCTGAGAGCAATGACCTCTATTATATAGACATACAATCCGTACGATTCTCCAATTAGAATCCTTGTAGGAAACCAACATTGTCTCCCAATTTTAAAATAAGTGAGTAATTTATGACCTATTCCCGGTCTCAATCCTTTATAAACTAGGACAACCAAACATCTTCTAATAAGACTCAAACCAATTTGAGCTCAAATATCTGGCCAAAATACTCCTACACTTGTGCTCATATTCTAACAAAAGATTCATCAAGACTGTTTAAATATATTAGTCTTTCTAACTAAACTCAACAATTCATCCACAGGGGACTTTGAGCAAAAACGAATCAACAAGGTATTAGGAAAGTGCATTTAGGCCATCGAATGATAGAAGTGATACTCACCAACCATTCTTTGTGACCCAGCAGATCTTCTTGGTTAAGCCTTTGCACAGCAACAACCATGCCAGTACCAGGCTTGGCAGCTGTTAGTGAATTCTCATCAACCCACCCCTTAAAGACAGAACCTGAATGTCCTTCACCCAAAATACAATCAGAATGGAAGTTCCTGGTGGCTGTTTTCAGTTCATTAAATCCGAATTTCTTCACATTGGAGGACTGCACGATCTCACCCTCTGTCCGAAGAGTTGAAGGCACCGAGATAGTCGACAGTTTGCTACTTGAACGCAATCCTAGACATGACAAATCCCATATAAATTGTAAATAAAGCTCAAAATTCAGTTATATGACAAAATAAGTTCTAAAAAGAATCTATAACATCAAAATACCAGAATACTATGGCTATGTTGGTTTGACTCCTATATCAAATCCAACTGTAAGAATGGAGGTTCATGTACTGCAGTACCTTCAATTTCACTTAGGTTCTGTACCACACCACTTCCTTCGATTTTCTCCGCAACCACTATTTTATTCCTGACAGAAAGCAATGCCTCCTTCACATCCCTTGTTCCCCGCACATTCAGCATATCTAATCCAACTGTATGTGATAAAGGTTCAGGTAATGCATTCCGAGCTCTAGTTTGAATTTGATCTTGAAGCACAGCACTTTCTTCAATTTGCTTGATCACGGCCTCTATACGTTGCACTGAAGCAGAGGTCTGCTTCACATCTCTTGCTACTTGCACTTTCAGTATATTTAACAGTATTTGAAGCGATTCGTCCAATCTGAGAAGCCTGTCAGTGTATTTATACTGTTTGCAGCTGACCCACAAGTGATCCTTGGCGCACTTGTCTATGAGCTCTACACCATTCTCCATTTGTATTCTAAAATCTTCGAGTCGCTCCTCTGTGCGATCTAATATCTTCTTATGTTTTGTTACCTCTTCAATCAATGGTTTTAAAGATTCTAGGGTGGATATAAGATTTTCAAATAGTGGTTTAAACATCACAGTCTTGTCCTTTGCTCCTATAACAGCGTCAAACAAAGCCAAAAACACTGCTTCTAGAGAAGCTCCTCCATCAAAAGATGTCACTGCATAATTACAACACCATCAAAATAAGAAAACCTAATCTCTCATTTTAAGAATACACATCTACCCAGAGAAATCACAACTAGACGTACGCAAAAGTTCTGCCAAACCAGTATATATTTTGTGTGTTTCTAGTTATTCTCTATTTGCAAGTTTATTCTATCGTCGGGTACACCAACAAGTTTCATAAGGGAGTCGAAAATATTACACGCTACTATCAAAGAAGGGTTTTAAGCTCTTGCTAGCCATGGGAGTCAATATTCAATGAAAGCAAAATCAATATCAGATGATCGGGTTTAATTACCATATGTCTGATCTAAAATTAGCTAAATATTAAGTAATGCTTATTGCTACAACAAAAGCTATATTCCAAAAACGGCAAAAGAAAATCTACACCAAGCATGTCTATAAATTTAGTTCCAATCAACTCACCTTGTTCCCCACTATTCCCTTGAGTTTGCTCCGGCGGAGCGGTTTCTGTACTATTTCCGGAAACCAAATTCTGCAAGCCACTCCCTCCTTCCCCAGCTCTCTGCTGCAGTAATTTCTGTATATCCAACAGTCTTCTGTTCACTTCATCCAATTTATCTCGGTTTTCCCTCGACAACAATAAAACCTCTTTCACATCCCTTGTTTCCTGCATCTTCAATTTTTGCAGCAATCTTTTGAGAGCCCTATCCAACTCAACAATTTGGTCAGTATAATCATACAGACAGCAATAGTTCCACATTCGAAAATTCGATAACTTTACAACCAGCTTTACGCCTTCCTCCATCTTCAATTTAAGACTTTCGATTTCGTCGTTGGGGAGACCCAATTCCACATTATGTTCTTCAATTTGTTGGATGTCTCTCGGTACTAGGGAGTCTAGTGTAGATTTGAGGTCTCCCAGAAGGGATTTAAAGGTGCTGCTCTTGCTCATCGCTTGCTTAACGCCGTCGTAGAGCAGCGTAAACAGTGTTCCGCCAATAAACTCTAGTGCCATAGTTACCAAAGCACTCCCAATACAGCAAAATTAGAAATGTCTGTGTTTGATTGCAACCTAAATTTTGGCCAACCTTATTCAATACGGTGGCGAATTGGGTGGCTCCGCTTGCTAATGGAGGAGGAGGCACCATGAACGGTGGAAGAGACGAGACCCCAATCCTCCTCCCTTCATCTCTTGGTCCCTGGAGCCTGCCACCAGAGGTCAACGGACGAAGCTGGAGCTGAAGAGCCAAGGTAAACTGGCCTCTCTTTTGGTATTTTGTTGTATTTCTTTCGCGTCTTTTAGTTTGGTTCTCTTTCAGATTTTTTTGAGGGACCATTTTCATAGCGGAGCTATATGGCTAGGAACTGGCTTCTCTCCTTCCTACTTCTCGTGCATTCTTATTTCTTCTTATTTATATGATCACAGTTAAAACACGTTAATATTTTATATTACTATTACTTTTTATCTTATTATTTTTATAAAAAAATTAATATAAAAAATTAATATAGCTTATCTGTAAACATATAAAATAGGAAGGGATAGGAACGTATGACAAGTGAGAGGCAGAAAAGCCGAATCCTGTGTTTTGAGTCCGAAAATCCTCTCTCTAAATCATTGTAAACCTTCCTGTCTTATCATTTAGACCTGCTGATAATGTTTTTTTATGTTGACGAAAGATAGGATGGTGACACACAACACGGAAATATAGACCCGCTTCTCTACCCTTTCATTTCTCGTACACTCTCAACAGGTCGCTAGAACTTTCCAGCTATTTGAGGTGGACGTTTACTAGGCAAGTTGGCAGAAGGTCGGTCGAACTTTTTCCGGCTAGTTGACTGGTCAAGAAACCTAACTCCAGGAAAGAAAAAGTTAATGGAATTGGGGTTTAGGTTTGAACTTTTATCCTTGCATCCCATTAGGTTTAAGCGAAATTGTTCCATCCAAATTGAGGGTACACGTTTTTACACTAAGGGCTCGTTTACTAATCCGTAATCATATTGAGGGGAATTGGATTGAGGATGAATTGGATTGAGAAGGAAACATAATTAGATTCCTGTTAAAGTTGTTTACGAAACTAAACTGGAATCTGAATACAAACGATATTAGTTATATATATTGTTTACTAGTTTACTGGAATCGTAATTAAAACTAGCTTGATTACTAAATTGTCCTTATTGAAAATAAATTATTTTTATGCTATAATTATTGAAAATTAAGGCTATCTATATAAAATTAAATTTATCTTTATAAACTTATCTTTTCTCCCTCCTATCCTCTCATCCCCATCTTTTCTTCACCGACTACCAGAGCACTCCCGCGCCTTTCATCCTTGCTGCCTTTTCCTTTCCCACCACTTAATTACGGTTTCTTCGTTTTGGATAGTAGGTACCTGGGAACCCTTGCATTGATGTAGTTCTGGTACAATACGTTCCAAGTTGGGTGTTTTTTCGAAACAAGGACAAAGTAGATATTGTTCTTGAAAAGACCTATCCAAATACAAGTAAGCTATCACCAAGCGGGCATTTAAGCACGCAGATATACGATTACGCAAACATAAAACATACAAGATGGTGATGTTGAGGTCTTACAAATGAATCATTCCTTGAACATTCTTCAGAGTCTTTGTACTGGGAAGGTTGTTCACAGAATTTTTCCACAAGGAGACTAACTATCAGTAACTCTCATGAGGTTTGGACATAGTTATCAGTAACTCTCATAAGAACGACAATGATATTCTTAAGATTAGTCCAGTTGTAAAACATTCCTTGACGCCCTGCAGCAGAAAGAACTTCTATATATACCATAATAAGAAGTTAGCTTTCAGGCTAAAGTACTACAGAAGTTTGCGATTCAGAAGTAGGACTGTAACAAGAATAAAAAGATAAAATGATGATACACATGTGATCGCACGCGCACAACATACCTTTGATTTCTTGATATTGACAAAACTTTGTTGCCAAAGTGGTTTTCCCCAATCCTCCAGGAGAAATCAGCATCAATATCAACACCTTTTCATTGTTCAATAACATCATCTTCAACTCCTTCAAAGGCAAATCCAACTCAACTAAAACGGTGGAACGTGAGGTACTGCATGCCAAGCATCAATCTCGTATTCATTTTGGCTGACCTCCGTAGATATATTCCTTACTGTCTCCATATCTCTTATTTCTGGCGCTCTAAGTATAGCTAACAGTCTTTGTAGAGATTTGTCCAAATCCAGAAGTTCCATGGAGTGTCTATACTTTTTGTAGCCTTTCCAAGGACTAAGCTTGGCGCATTTCTGAACAAGCGCCGCCCCATTCTTCATTTGATTTTCAAAATGTTGTAGTTCCTCTTTTGGACGATCCAACACCTTCTTGTACTTTCCTATCTCTTCAATCAGTGGTTCTAAAGAGTCGAGCGTGGATTTTATGTCTTCAAGCAGAGGTTTAAAGAGCGTGGTCTTTTCCTTCACATTCCTAAGGACATCAAACAACACTGTAAGTGCTGCTCCAAGAGTACGCCCTGAGGGTCTCTGTCGTAATTACACCACCACCATACATTGTCAATTGATTATATGGGTATCTACATACATCTTTAAATCAACAATTCTATGTGTAAACCAAGTAGTTCTATGTATACCTTGTACCACACTCTTCTGTTCAACTGGTTCGAGTTCTGTCTCTGCTCCATGATTTCACTTGCTTCCTGCTGCACCTCCAGAGCAGTATCTAGCGGTCTTAAAAACGACCCATGGAGTTCAACAATTTGTTCACTTTAGACCTTCCTATGTGCAAGGTCTCTGCTTCCTCAGGCACCTCCCAGTACACGGATGGTCTTCTAGCAGTAGCAGCCCCTGCTTCCAATCTGGGCAAGTGCTTCGCCATTTTGCTTAATATGTCATTCTTCCTGACGCAATCATGCAAATAATAGCCGAGGCTACATACCAGCAGCCGGAACTAAACTTGATCCTGATAGCAGCGGGGAAACAGTGTACGCAATTTAATTGGAGGTTAGTGGGAAACAGTTTTTGCTGTTGGTGAAAAACTGGGAGTAAAAAAAAAGAGAATGTGCAATTGATTATTAGCAAAGAAAATCAGATACGTAGATTGAAGGCTCTATATCATCCCGTATACTATCCTTGGAGGTTGGTGTCTGTCCGTCTGTCTCTGTCATATCTTTTTCAAACCTAGTTGTATATTTTTACCGTGGATTAAATTTGATTTTAATTGTTAATCTGACAACCTTTGTACTTGACATAGCCGCCAGTTTACATGCGGGGTTGAGTGGTAGACCATATCTGCTACATCGATAGAGCAACCACAAATACGAAGGCTCTGATCGAGTAGTAAGCCATATCTGCTACATCGGTAGAGTGACCACAAATACAAAGGCTCTAATCGACAAAGCAATAGAGAGACCACACCCATTAGCCAGTGGATAGATGGTTAAGAGATGTGAGAAGCATGGAGGGGATGAGAGGGAAGTGATGAAAAAAGGTAGGCATTAGTGGGTTTTTACTGTCTGTCCAGGGAAGAAGAAAAAATAAATAAATAATTCATCAAATCTTAATCAGTATATAGAGAAGAAAACCAGGGAAATCCAAGCCAATGGAATGATGCAATATCTCATACAAACACCAAATGAGAAATAGGAAAAAATAAACTGGAATACAAATCACACAGGCCATTTGCTCCAATACTTATCGTGGAAAGATAGCTCTCAAATCTGAAGTCTGTGGAGCCAATTCAGGTTGAATTCTTCTTTAGCCACCCTTATTTTGTCGGGATTTGATAAGACAGATTCCCATAAATTTCTTGCGTCTTCGTCACATATCACTTTCTCTAACTGCTGACCAAGATCAAACACTGACACAGGCAGCTCTTTAATCTTGAACATAGTGCCACGTTGATTTTTCTTAAACCATTCATCTTATCAATGCATTCGGGCAAGTCCTTAATGCTGGAACAATTATATATGTCAAGAAAGCACAACTTATTGAGTCTCTCAATCGAGCCTGGAAGCTTTTTTAATTCTGCGCAGGACCTTAGCCTCAACACTTCTAAATTCGCCAGCTTTTCGATGTCTTCAGGCAAGACAGATAGCTTATGAGAGTTGGTGATGCTGAGAACTTTTAGGTGGATAAGATCACATAGCTTGGCAGGCAATTCCACCAAATCGTTACAATAGTCGATGTGCAACTCCTCTAGGTATGGGAATGTCTCAAAAATTTGGATGGAAGAGTTTCCAAATGCTTGACTGACGTTACACATGAATAAAGATATCTTCTTTAGACTCTTCGATTGAATGATGTTCTCGCGTATCAAAGGAATCGAAATATGCTCTAATCTTAGTCTCTTTAGATTTGACAAAGAACACAGCAGTTCAAAGTCGCTTAGCTCAGCAGGTGAGAAGCCATCATTTGTGACTATTAGAACCTTCAGCTTGCACATTTTCTTCATGAACTTGGGTAAGGCATAGTTCTTTGCTTGAAAATTCAAAACTAGAACCTCGCCTTTTGGTAGATCCATGTTGTGCCACTCTGTTGAAGAAGATTCACCTGCAAATAAACAATGTGCTATATGATGTGACTCTGGGGAGATATTAATGTGAAATTACGTTTGTGAGCTTGTATGTACGTGATCGTACATATGTATGTATCTATTTTCTAAAGAAAGAGTTCAGAGATGCCAACCAGTTATGACAGATACTAAGCGAGCCTTCTTTGTTTTCTGCTTCTTCTCTGTCCACCATGGTGTTAAGACAGATACTAAGCGACCCTTCATTGTTTTCTTCTCTGTCCACCATGGTGGAAGCTCATCTCCACGTATGTCTACAATCAGTCTATGTCCTGTTGGGTCTTCATCATGACTCGCACGGATTGATAGCAATTTAAGCATATCATGTTGGATAACAAAATGTTCACCATAGTATCCATCCAAATCCTTAGTCCTGGTTGTGATCAAAATTTAGTTTCACAGAAGAAATTTCTGAAACGTGCATATCACAGTAGTAAATTGGTAAAAAAAGTAAAGTTTGAATACCTTGTGACTACAAGACTGGCCAAATTGCGGAAGGTGAGGTGGTATAGGTTCACTATTGAATCGTCATCATTTGATCCCTCATATAACTCTGCCCACATATCAAGAAGGAAAGCAACGGGAATTCTTTGGTCTTGGGGAAATAAAGCAAGGTCTATGAAACAATCCTTGACAGGAGCCATTTCTTTATTCAAGTCATCTAAGCAACTTTTGAGGAGCGCAAGCAAAATTTTCTCTGAATCAAAAATAGAAGAACCTTTAGATAATTCTGTGAGTTTGCTTGTCCATTTCTCTACAGGCTGATTGCGAAGTGACGTCCCTATGGTTGTAATGGCAAGCGGAAATCTCTTACAGTGGTTTAGTATCTGCAGTCCAATTGTCCCAAATAAGGTGAATAACTATTTACAGATATAGTAAAATCAACGGGTTCATTTGCGTGCATGGGTGATTTGTGTAGTAAGTGACATTTTCTATAAGCAGGAATGCATAAATAAGGGCATATACATTAGAAACTCAAACTAATATATCACCTGAATCTGAAGATCATCTGGTATGTTACAGATCGTATTTGGCAGAAATGCTGAACGACGAAAAAGAGTCAGTGCATCTTTATCTGTCAATGCTTGTAAATTATATGGAGGCCCGAATTTCGGAAAATGATATCTTGATGTCACCAAAATCTTGTAATCTGGAATTTTGATTTCATCAAACTTGTCAAGAAGGGATTCTGATGCAGACGGAACATCATCCAAGATTAACAGTAAGGGATTTTGCCCTGCTTCCCTCAAAAATTGCGGCAGCCAGATAAATGCAATTTCTTCATTTTCTAAAGCAGGTACCTGAATCGGGCATGTTGACACAATTCTTGGACAACAAGGTGGCTGGGCTTATTGGAAACCGTGGCAAAGAAGATATTGTCCTTGAATTTATCTAACCAAGAAAACACATGGGAATGCAACATTACTAATTAGAAGAAAAAAGAGAGAAAAGAAGTGATTATCATTAGCAGACAGGTAGGAGCCATTCTACAGTATCGAGTGTGCGCATCTAAAAAAAGTTTGTCGCATCGTACAAAAACTTTATAGATAGATACCTTTGACTTGTGGATCATGACAGAACATATTTGCCAAAGTGGTTTTCCCACATCCTCCCGGAGCAGTGAGCACAAGCATTGACAGCGCGTCATCTCTAAGGAGTTTCATCTTCATCTCCGCCAAAGGCGCATCCAGTTTTAGTGTATTGCTTGGAAGGTCGGGAACTGCGCACCAAGTTGTAACAAGGTCTTGGTTTTGATTTTGAGCCACAAGATTTGCATCAGTTTGCACTAACTTCAAGATTCTTTGACGAGATTCGTCCCATTTAACAATTTTTTTAGCATATTTAGCCTTTTCAAAGAAGTTCAGATTCCCCTCGTCGCACCTTCTGGCCAGCTCCTTGCCATCCTCCATTGTTCTTGTTAAATTTTCAGAAACCCAAATGATTCTGGTGCGGCTTATCAGTGCGATCCGTTGTTCCAAGTAGTCTAGATTTGAAGTGAGATCTCTGCGGAGAGTTGGAAACTTCTTAGCCATCTTGTAGAATCTTATGGCGGCACCAAACAGCCATTCAAATGGTATTTTTACAATAGCTGCTACAGCTGACGCAAGGACTGCCATAATTACAACAACAACAACCACCACCCAGCTCTGAAAATCTGAATTCTAAAACAAGAGAGCAATTGCTTTGGATCACAGAATTATAAATGCATTTGAAACGAGGGAGAGGCTGCTTTCTTTTAAACTAATCTAAACAGAGGAGAGAGAGGGATTTGAGCTCGGCTGAATAGGGAGAGACACCTCTCAAGTGTTAAGATAAGTTTGGAAGCCAAGAAGCAGTGGGCGCCTGGGCGGCTTAGGCGGGCGTTGGGCGAGGAACTGAGTTGAGAGGAAACTCAGACTTCCTCTCAACTCAGTTCCTCTCTCGGCGACAGAAAGAATTGAGAACAAATGGAAGAGCTTGATGACTAATCGAAGAGCCCATCTAAAGATAGGAGTTTGGAAGAAAGAAATTCAATACAGAGGAGATGCGGTGGGTCGCGGCGCTCTTGCTCGCCAAATCGATCTGAAACTCCAAGTTTGATAAGCAATAATACATACATACATATATATATATATATATATATATATATATGTATATTCATAGTCAATGAGAGAAGAATATTTTATTTGCAAAACTTGTTTACATCATATTGCTGACGTAAGCAAGTAAAAGCATCCAAGAAAAAGAAGGAAACAAACAACAACTAAAGCCAAATGATTTGCAATTTCCAGGAAACTCGTATTACGGAAAAATCACCGACAAAACAGTTTATAGTCAATGAGAAAAGAATATTTTATTTGCAAAACTTGGTTGGTGCATATGTATATATATATATATTCATAGTCAATGAGAGAAGAATATTTTATTTACAAAACTTGGTTGGTGCATAATTTGGAAAGCCCATAGAAACGGACCGTATCCCCTCCGGATCTAAAAAGTTTGTGGATAAGGGTCAAATGATCTAGACCATTGAAATTTGATCCAACGGCTACAAATAAAGAACTCTTTTAAAAATTCTAATAATTCTAATCATTAGATCAAATTTCAATGATCGGATCATTTAATCAATAGGCTCAAATTTTTTGGATCCAGAGGAAATCCGGTACCATAGAAACAACCAAGTAGGGCCACATTGACGAATTTATTACATCATATTGCCGACGTAAACAAGCAAAAGCATCAAAGACAGAGAAGGAAACAAACAGCAACTAAGGCCAAATGATTTGCAATTTCCAGGAAACTCGCATTGCGGAAAATCACCCACAACAATAGAAAGGCTCAGAAATCCCAGAATATTTTATTTGCAACTTGGTTGGTGCATAATTTGGAAAGCCCATTGAAACAACATAGTAGGGCCACATTGACCAATTTATTACGTCATAATGCCGACGTAAACAAGCGAAAGCATCAAAGAAAAAGGATTTGGATCCTCTCCTGAGCTAATGGAGGGGATCCTCCTGACCAAACATTTTGAACCTTTAGATTTTTATCGAACGACTACAAACAGAATGGTCCCTTTAAAGTTATAATAATTATAACCGTTGGATGAAAATCCAATGGTCCACAATGTTTGATGAGGAGGATCCTCTCCATTAGCTCAGAAGAGAATCCAAATCCAAAGAAAAAGATGGAAACAAACAGCAACTAAAGCCAAATGATTTGCATTCCAGGAAACTTGCATTGCGGAAAAATCACCCACAAAACAATAAAAAGGCTCAGAAATCCCACATAATACATAAATTAATACACTTTTTTCTCTACGTAAAAAATAATGATTTTCAAACTCTTATTTTCTTTCCATGCACTTATCTCTGTTTCTCTAGCCGTTCGATGGATATATCAAAGACGAGAATCAATGAAGAGTTGAACAGTGAGGAGTGCAGAAGAGAACAGGGGGTGCAAAAGTCACTACCCAGTGTGAATAGTTACAATAATTCTACAGTGCTGCGATGTTATTACAAACACAAACCATAAATAGAAGTAAACTTGAAAATATGATCGCACGTTGATGCGGAACTTGAATGAACCAGCCTTAACTACATGAATAAGACACATTTAACCTGAAAAAAAAATTTCAACATAATCATGAACGAACAAAAAGAATAGATCTAGGAAATTATAAAAAACATTGTAACCGTAGATCCAGAAAATTATAAAAATCTATCCAATCAAGAGACAATATAATAGTTGTGGGAAGGTGAGTATGTAACTAAGAATCTAAGATATAATTGATTTGCAATTCCATTATAATTTCACACAAATAAAGATCAAATTTTGATTTAAACATCAAACAAAACAATCTCATCTGTTACAGATTAGACCAACTAAATAAAGAATCTATTGATATGATTTTCAACCTAATATAAAACAAAGCTTTATTACAATGCAATCAACATTATTTGAACTCAACTAAAAAGAAACTGATTGCATGTTATAAATTCCATGGGTAAATTGATTTTACAGATTAAAAAGAGTCAAAGAATATTGAAAATTACTAAACCCCATCACAACAAACCCATATACCCATATCTCCCTTGCCCGTTCCCTTCAACCCTTGCAGAAAATCCTCCCATCTCTCTCACCCTTGTCCCATCTCTCTGTTTCTGCAAATCGCAGAAAACAAACCCTAAACCAAATCCCTGAAATCCCTCACCTAAATCCTCCCACATCTCTCTTGGACACCTCCTATCTCTTGACTCTGCAAACCCTAAATCAAATCTCCTAATCCTATCTTGGACCCCCCATCTCTCTGCCAATCGCACAAACAAAAACCCAAACCTAATCATTCAAATCCCACCAAAACCTAATCCTTGAAACCCCACCCAAACCTAATCCCTGAAACCCCTTGTCTCAAACACCCAACACGTCTCTCTCTCATATAGCCCTAAATGAAGTGCCTCGTAGCATCGAATCGACCTGCAACACCCCCGGGTGAGATCAAGAGCGGCAGAATAAGATATTTGTCAGAGAGCTGTGAAACAGAAAAGTAAAAACGATAGGTAAAGCAAACAACACAGTCGAAAGAGAGAACCCAGCGATGATCGGTTCTACTTTTCATATTTCCATTTTAATGTACCAGCAAGGAAATGATAGTATATTTTACAGAGAAATATAAATATTGTTTTCAATGAATTAATATGATTGCAAATGTAATAGCTACATACAGTGAGGTAGGAGAAATGATGGAAGACGCACTGAAATTTGAGGTCCATAGGTTGAGAAGAGTCCATAGCATTGATCCATATATGGATATCTTGCACAGACCTACAGTTCAAGCTCCGAACAAAGTATCAATTTATCAGCAATTGTGACATTCATTATTCCTAAAAAAGTTATTGATTCACAAATAAACAAATGAAAGGAATCGAAAAAGTAATGCTTACCACGTGCTGGCTAAATCCAAACTCAAAATGACCACGATATTTTCCCGGCGATGATTACAAAGAGATTGCTGCCTGGGACTTCTGTAACTCCCCTGAAAACAATGTCATGAATTTATTTATTGGATAAATGTGTGTACCCAAGAACTACACTGAAACAACCACAAAAATTCAAACTTCCAAAGTAAAAATGATCTGAAACTAATAAAAAAATAATCGACTAAAAATCACATATAAACCCAAATGAAATCTGAACCCCCCAAGCAAAACTAAAAAACACCCTACATAGACAATCAAACAGAACCAAATGGGGGTTCAGATAATTTTTTTGTTATTGTTTCTCTCTTTCATGCAAGCTTACATCAGTAAAGGAAGCCAGAGATTTTAACCTTTTACCTTTTACCTTGGGTCTGAGATCCTCAAGTTGTGTGCTCTCCAATATTCAAACATTTGCACAACTAATGGTACACTAATTGAGTTCCCAACCTCTAAGGATGATAACTTCATCATATAGCACTACAGTTGAGCAAATTTCTTTCCGAAATTAAATTAAGAACAAATTCGACATTCACATGCCACAACAATTACACTGTTCCATGAAGTAATCTTACTATCACAGCCAAATTGACACAAAACATGTAACAGTCCTCTTGAAAACAAAATTCAACCCATTAATCATATTCTCATTTAGCACTCTATATACAGAAACAAATTACAGAATTTTAATAATTTTCTGAAAACAACAAACCCAACAAACATGAAAAAAAAAAGTAACTAAGTTCCCAATAGTATAATCCATCATAAACATACAAACTTGCACATGTTTAAGGACCATGAGAAAGAAGCAGGGTAATTAAGCATATCAATATTTGCATAAGATGAACCAACATTTGAAAAGTATAAGCAGATGGACCAACACAGAGAGAAAACACCTAAATTTACAGCAAGATGAAACCTTAATGGGAATTACACATTTCCATTGGACCTAAGGATCATACACCCAACACCAAACACCTCATCGTGATCAAACCAAACTAAACTGTCATTCAATTAAGTCTCAAACACTTTAATTAAGTTAAAAAGAACAGTCAAATTCTACCAAAACTATTTACAGAAACCAAGAAAAACAGAACAAACAGTGGTGCAAAGGTGTCACCAAACACCTCATTGTGATCAAACCAAACTAAACTTTCATTCAATTAAGTGTCAAACACTTTAATTAAATTAAAAAGAACAGTCCAATTCTACCAAAACTATATACAGAAACCGAGAAAAACAAAACAAACAGTGGTGCAAAGGTGTATAATTATAATGACACTAAATCGTCAAATGAAATTAAAAAAATTACCCAAACCAATATAAAAGCCAAAGTTAACCCTAGCAACTGTAAAATAACAATTAAAAAACGAAACCCATTAAATTAGCTACAAACCTAGATAAACCAATACTAAATTAGACTAAACAAATAACAAATAAGCTTCAAATCAAATTCCAAATCAAAAGTTTGGATAAAACCAACAACAAAACCACACCTTGTTCCTGTTCTGTCTCCCTTCTCTTGCTTTTCTCTTCTGCCTACTCCCCATATTAAGCCTTTTTTTCCTCATTTTTTCTCTTTTGGCTGCTCACTTAACCCCCATTTTTTTTTCTCTTCACTTTCCTCAATTTCCAGTCTCTCCCTTTCTTCCACGTCTATCTTTTTTTCCTCATTTTTTCCATCACTACTCTTGACACTAATTCTCCACTCTTTTCTATCTCTTAATTATTTCACTCAATCAAAACATGGGATCACATTTTCTCAAGCAGCCGAAAAACACTGACCAACCCAAAATCAGAAAAACATCCAAACTAAAACATACAATCACCATTGTCAAGCAGCAAACGATAAATTAGAAATATAAAACAAAGAAAAAAAAAAGAGAAACACACTAAACCATGCCATCGGTGAACACCATACCTTGGAAAGAGTAGACACACGCAGCTATTCAAGACCGATCCCACCGAAACACAATTTGTGAGCTTCGACAAAAAGGGGAGAAATCCAAATCTCAACCAATTGGCCCATCGTCTGAAAATTGAGAGCGCAAACAAAATCCCAAAATAAACCAAAAGCAGGGTTTCCTTGGTGGGTATTTTGTGAGAGGGAAAACGGAAGATTTGAGTGTGGGAGAAACGAAGAGAAAGGTGGGTTCGTGGTGAGTGAAGGGGTGAAAGGAAATCCCTGGAAATCAGCCTACCCCATACTTCTCCCTTACTCTTTCTCCCTAAACCCATATCTCCCTGCCGAAAATCCTCTCCCCTACCCCCATACTCCCCCGTCTCTCTCTGCAACGGACAGAACTGTCCCTTCTCCAGTATGCGTCCAGCATGTTTGAAGCTTGTCGACCATCACTACTTGGTTTGTAGGCTCCAAGGAGAGAGATATGGGGAGCGGAGAGAAAGGAAGAGCCGAGGAAGATGAAAGACTATGGATTTTCCAGTAGAGAAGGAGAGAGGAAGAGTGAGAGATGAGCACAAACCTAAACTCTAGAGCTCTGTTCACCAGAATCACTTCCCATTCCTAAAATTAGGCAAATTCCCAACAATAACAACAAAAAAACCTCTTAGATTTCACTTTCACTTAATCATAGGCATCCACTCATCCGTAACAAATGGAGAAATAAGCAAAAATCACCTAGAGACAACACAGAGTCCACTGTTGAAGCTATATATAATCATTGAAGAAAAACCCTTTACGTCCAGCACAAAGCAAACTATAGTTGAAATTTCAACAAACCAAAATAATATGCAAATAAATAAATAAATACAACAACAACAAAGTCTTTTCCCACTAAGTGGGGTCGGTTATATGAATCCTAGAACGCCATTGCGCTCGGTTTTGTGTCATGTCCTCCGTTAGATCCAAGTACTCAAGTCTTTTCTTAGGGTCTCTTCCAAAGTTTTCCTAGGTCTTCATCTACCCCTTTGGCCCTGAACCTCTGTTCCGTAGTCACATTTTCGAACTGAAGCGTCAGTAGGCCTTCTTTGCCATGTCCAAACCACCGGAACCGATTTTCTCTCATATTTCATTCAATTTTGGCTACTCCTACTTTACCTCGGATATCCTCATTCCCAATCTTATCCTTTCTCGTGTGCCCATACATCCCACGAAGCATCCTCATCTCCGCTACACCCATTTTGTGTACGTGTTGATGCTCCACCGCCCAACATTCTGTGCCATACAACATCGCTGGCCTTATTGCCGTCCTATAAAATTTTCCCTTGAGCTTCAGTGGCCTACGACGGTCACACAACACGCCGGATGCACTCTTACACTTCATCCATCCAGCTTGTATTCTATGGTTGAGATCTCCATCTAATTCTCCGTTCTCTTGCAAGATAGATCCTAGGTAGCGAAAACGGTCACTTTTTGTGATCTTCGCTAGATTGCTCCGGTCATTAGTGTGGATAAGTATATAAATGGATAGAGATAGGAAAGCAAACACAAGATGTACGTGGTTCACCCAGATTGGCTACGTCCACGGAATAGAGGAGTTCTCATTAATTGTGAAGGGTTTACACAAGTACATAGGTTCAAGCTCTCCTTTAGTGAGGACAAGTGAATGATTTAGTACAAATGACATTAGGAAATATTGTGGGAGAATGATCTTGTAGCCACGAAACTTCTAAGTACCGGAGTGTGGTATCGTCTTGACTTGCCTTATCTGTCTCATAGGTAGATGTGGCATCTTCTCTGGAAGTACTATTCCTCCATCCAGGGATGGTATCTGTAACTGGTGGAGATGCACAAGGTAATGTATCAATTTCACTTGAAGCTTACTTGTAGTTTCATGCTTGGTCAAGTGCGATACAAATCATGTAGTAGGAGTCCCCCAAGTCGCCGAGCTAGAGGATCTACTGAAAGAGGTGACAGACAAGGTAAGCAATCAGAGCTTCGGCTGATTGTTCACATTCTCCCTATCTTGCAGGCAGCATGAAGAATAAAGAGAAGAAAAATGAGAATAGATGATATGGGATACTTTTGCTTTTGAAGAAGTAACTTTCCACAGGCTTATTCTTGAACTGGACTGGAGGGTTTTCTGGTTTCCTCCAGAGTATAAGGCCGACTGAAGAATTTGAGGGTCAAAACAAGTCCATCAAATCTAGAGTACGTTCGACCCTGCTGATATGGAATACTTTTGCTTTTGACAGAGTAGTGGATGTATCGGCACGTGTGCTGTTACGCTTGTCTCCACATGCTTCCTTGTATCCTTCTCACTTGCCCTATCTGTTCCTCAGGCAGATACGGTATCTTTCCTGGAAGCATAAGATGTTGAAGATGAGTACTCGAGTAGTAAGCCATATCTGCTACATCGGTAGAGTGACCACAAATACAAAGGCTCTAGTCGACAAAGCGATAGAGAGACCACACCCATTAGCCAGTGGATAGATGGTTAAGAGATGTGAGAAGCATGGAGGGGATGAGAGGGAAGTGATGAAAAAAGGTAGGCATTAGAGGGTTTTTACTGTCTGTCCTGGGAGGAAGAAAATAAAAAATCAAAAATTCAACAAATCTTAATCAGTATATAGAGAAGAAAACGAGGGAAATCCAAGCCAGTGGAATGATGCAATATCTCATACAAACACCAAATGAGAAATAGGAAAAAATAAACTGGAATACAAAGTACACAGGCCATTTGCTCCAATACTTATCGTGGAAAGATAGCTCTCAAATCTGAAGTCTGTGGAGCCAATTCAGGTTGAATGCCACCGTTATTTTGTTGGGATTTGATAAGACAGGTTCCCAAAAAATTCTTGCGTCCTCGTCACATATCACTTTCTCTAACTGCGGACCAAGATCATACACTGACTCAGGCAGCTCATCCAATCTTGAACATTGTGCCATATTGATTTTTCTTAAACCATTCATCTTATCAATGCCTTCGGGCAACGTCTTAATGCTGGAACAATTAGATATGTCAAGAAAGTACAAGTTATTGAGTTTCTCAATCGAGCCTGGAAGCTTTTCCAAGCCTGTGCAGGACCTTAGCCTCAACACTTCTAAATTCTCCAGCTTTCCGATGTCTTCAGGCAAGACAGATAGCTTATGAGAGTTGGTGATGCTGAGAACTTTTAGGCCGATAAGATCGCATAGCTTGGCAGGCAATTTCACCAAATCGTTACAATAGTCGATGTGCAACTCCTCTAGGTATGGGAATGTCTCAAAAATTTGGATGGAAGAGTTTCCAAATGCTTGACTGACGTTACACATGAATAAAGATATCTTCTTTAGACTCTTCGATGGAATGATGTTCTCGCGTATCAAAGGAATTGAAATATGCTCTAATCTTAGTCTCTTTAGATTTGACAAAGAACACAGCAGTTCAAAGTCACTTAGCTCAGCAGGTGAGAAGCCATCATTTGTGACTATTAGAACCTTCAACTTGCACATTTTCTTCATGAACTTGGGTAAGGCATAGTTCTTTGCTTGAAAATTCAAAACTAGAACCTCGCCTTTTGGTAGATCCATGTTGTGCCACTCTGTTGAAGAAGATTCACCTGCAAATAAACAATGTGCTATATGATGTGACTGGGGAGAAATTAATGTGAAATTACGTTTGTGAGCTTGTATGTACGTGATTGTACATATGTATGTATCTATTTTCTAAAAATAGAGTTCAGAGATGCCAACCAGTTATGACAGATACTAAGCGAGCCTTCTTTGTTTTCTGCTTCTTCTCTGTCCACCATGGTGTTAAGACAGATACTAAGCGAGCCTTCCATGTTTTCTTCTCTGTCCACCATGGTGGAAGCTCATCTCCATTTATGTCTACAATCAATCTATGTCCTGTTGGGTCTTCATCATGACTCGCACGGATTGATAGCAATTTAAGCACATCATGTTGGACAACAAAATGTTCACCATAGTATCCATCCAAATCCTTAGTCCTGGTTGTGATCAAAATTTAGTTTCACAGAAGAAATTTCTGAAACGTGCATATCACAGTAGTAAATTGGTAAAAAAAGTAAAGTATGAATACCTTGTGACTACAAGACTGGCCAAATTGCGGAAGGTGAGGTGGTATAGGTTCACTATTGAATCGTCATCATTTGATCCCTCATATAACTCTGCCCACATATCAAGAAGGAAAGCAACGGGAATTCTTTGGTCTTGGGGAAATAAAGCAAGGTCTATGAAACAATCCTTGACAGGAGCCATTTCTCTATTCAAGTCATCTAAGCAACTTTCGAGGAGTGCAAGCAATTTTTTCTCTGAATCATTCTCTGAATCAAGAATAGAAGAACCTTTAGATAATTTTTTGAGTTTGGTTCTCCATTCCTGTATAGGCTGATTGCAAAGTGACGTCCCTACGGTTGTAATGGCAAGCGGAAATCTCTTACAGCAGTTTACTATCTGCAGTCCAATTGTCCCAAATAAGGTGAATAACTATTTACAGATATTATAAAATCTACGGGTTCACTTGCGTGCATGGGTGATTTGTGTAGCAAGTGACATTTTCTATAAGCAGGAATGCATAAATAAGGGCATATACATTAGAAACTCAAACTAATAAATCACCTGAATCTGAAGATCATCTGGTATGTTACAGCTCGTATTTGGCAGGAATGCTGAACGACGAAAAAGAGTCAGTGCATCTTTATCTGTCAACGCTTGTAAATTATATGGAGGCCCGAATTTCGGAAAATGGTATCTTGATGTCACCAAAATCTTGTAATCTGTAATTTTGATTTCATCAAACTTGTCAAGAAGGGATTCTGATGTAGACGGAACATCATCCAAGATTAACAGTAAGGGATTTTGCCCTGCTTCCCTCAAAAATCGCGGCAGCCAGCTAAATGCAATTGCTTCATTTTCTAAAGCAGGTACCCTGAATCCGGCATGTTGACACAATTCTTGGACAACAAGGTGGCTGGGCTTATTGGAAACCGTGGCAAAGAAGATATTGTCCTTGAATTTATCTAGCCAAGAAAACACATAGGAATGCAACATTACTAATTAGAAGAAAAAAGAGAGAAAAGAAGTGATTATCAATAGCAGACAGGTAGGAGCCATTCTACAGTATCGAGTGTGCGCATCTAAAAAATGTTTGCCGCATCGTACAAAAACTTTATAGATAGATACCTGTGACTACTGTGGATCATGACAGAACATATTTGCCAAAGTGGTTTTCCCACATCCTGGCGGAGCAGTGAGCACAAGCATTGACCGCGCGTCATCTCTAAGGAGTTTCATCTTCATCCCCGCCAAAGGTGCATCCAGTTTTAGTGTATTGCTTGGAAGGTCAGGAACTGCACACCAAGTTGTAACAAGGTCTTGGTTTTGATTTTGAGCCACAAGATTTGCATCAGTTTGCACTAACTTCAAGATTCTTTGACGAGATTCGTCCCATTTAACAATTTTTTTAGCATATTTAGCCTTTTCAAAGAAGTTCAGATTCCCCTCGTCGCACATTCTGGCCAGCTCCTTGCCATCCTCCATTGTTCTTGTTAAATTTTCAGAAACCCAAACGATTCTGGTGCGGCTTATCAGTGGGATCCGTTGTTCCAAGTAGTTTATATTTGAAGTGAGATCTCTGCGGAGAGTTGGAAACTTCTTAGCCATCTTGTAGAATCTTATGGCGGCACCAAACAGCCATTCAAATGGAATTTTTACAATAGCTACTACAGCTGACGCAAGGACTCCCATAATTTCAACAACAACAACAACCACCACCCAGCTCTGAAAATCTGACTTCTAAAACAAGAGAGCAATTGCTTTGGATCACAGAATTATAAATGCATTTGAAACGAGGGAGAGGCTGCTTTCTTTTAAACTAATCTAAACAGAGGAGAGAGAGGGATTTGAGCTCGGCTGAATAGGGAGAGACACCTCTCAAGTGTTAAGATCAGTTTGGAAGCCAAGAAGCAGTGGGCGCCTGGGCGGCTTAGGCGGGCGTTGGGCGAGGAACTGAGTTGAGAGGAAACTCAGACTTCCTCTCAACTCAGTTCCTCTCTCGGCGACAGAAAGAATTGAGAACAAATGGAAGAGCTTGATGACTAATCGAAGAGCCCATCTAAAGATAGGAGTTTGGAAGAAAGAAATTCAATACAGAGGAGATGCGGTGGGTCGCGGCGCTCTTGCTCGCCAAATCGATCTGAAACTCCAAGTTTGATAAGCAATAATACATACATACATACATATATATATATATATTCATGGTCAATGAGAGAAGAATATTTTATTTGCAAAACTCGTTTACGTCATATTGCTGACGTAAGCAAGCAAAAGCATCCAAGAAAAAGAAGGAAACAGCAACTAAAGCCAAATGATTTGCAATTTCCAGGAAACTCGCATTGCGGAAAAATTACCGACAAAACAATTCATAGTCATTGAGAGAAGAATATTTTATTTGCAAAACTTGGTTGGTGCATAATTTGGAAAGCCCATAGAAACGGACTGAATCCCCTACGGATCTAAAAAATTTGAGCATAAGGATCAAATCATTCAAACCATTGAAATTTAATCAAATGGTTACAAATAAGGAGCTCCTTTAAAAATTATAATAATTGTAATCATTAAATCAAATTTCAATGGTCCGGATCATTTGATCATTAGGTTTAGATTTTTTGGATCCGAAGGAGATCCGGTACCATAGAAACAACCAAGTAGGGCCACAATGACAAATTTATTACATCATATTGCCGACGTAAACAAGCGAAAGCATCAAAGAAAGAGAAGGAAGCAAACAACAACTAAAGCCAAATGATTTGCAATTTCCAGGAAACTTGCATTGCGGAAAAATCACCCACAACAATAGAAAGGCTCAGAAATCCCAGAATATTTTATTTGCAACTTGCTTAGTGCATAATTTGGAAAGCCCATTGAAACAACGTAGTAGGGCCACATTGACCAATTTATTACGTCATATTGCCGACGTAAACAAGCGAAAGCATCAAAGAAAAAGGATTTGGATTCTCACCTGAGCTAATGGAGAGGCTCCACCTAACCAAACATTTTGGACCGTTGAATTTTTATTCAACCGCTACAAACAAAAGGGTCCCTTTAAAGTTATAATAATTATAACCGTTAAATGAAAATCCAACGGTCCACAATACTTGGTCAGGAGGACCCTCTCCATTGGCTCAGGAGAGGATCCAAATCCAAAGAAAAAGATGGAAACAAACAGCAACTAAAGCCAAATGATTTGCAATTTCCAGGAAACTTGCATTGCGGAAAAATCACCCACAAAACAAAAGGCTCGGAAATCCCACATAATACATAAATTAATACACTTTTTTCCCTACGTAAAAAATATTGATTTTCAATCTCTTATTTTCTTTCCATGCACTTATCTCTGTTTCTCTAGCCATTCGACGGATATATCAAAGACGAGAATCAATGAAGAGTTGAACAGTGAGGAGTGCAGAAAAGAACAGGGGGTGCAAAAGTCACTACCCAGTGTGAATAGTTACAATAATTCTACAGTGCTGCGATGTTATTACAAACACATAAACCATAAATAGAAGTAAACTAGAAAATATGCTCACACGTTGCTGTGGAATTTGAATACACCAGCCTTACTACATGAATAAGACACATTTAACCTGAAAAAAAAAATTCAATATAATCATGAACGAACAAAAAGAATAGATCTAGGAAATTATAAAAAGCATTGTAACTGTAGATCCAGAAAATTATAAAAATCCATCAAGTCAAGTGACAATATAATAGTTGTGGGAAGGTGAGTATGCAACTAAGAATCTAAGATATAATTGATTTGCAATTCCATTATAATTTCACACAAATAAAGATCAAATTTTGATTTAAACATCAAACAAAACAATCTCATCTGTTACGATTGGACCAACTAAATAAAGAATCTATTGATATGATTTTCAACCTAACAATAAAACAAAGCTTTATAACAATGCAATCAACATTATTTGAACTCAACTAAAAAGAAACTGATTGCATGTTATAAATTCCATGGGTAATTTGATTTTGCAGATTAAAAAGAGTCGAAGAATATTGAAAATTACTAAACCCCATCGCAACAAACCCATATACCCATACCTCCCTTGCCCGTTTCCTTCAACCCTTGCAGAAAATCCTCCCATCTCGCTCACCCTTGTCCCATCTCTCTGTCTCTGCAAATCGCAGAAAACAAACCCTAAACCAAATCCCTGAAATCCCTCGCCTAAATCCTCCCACATCTCTCTTGGACACCTCCTATCTCTGACTCTGCAAACCCTAAATCAAATCTCCTAATCCTATCTTGGACCCCCCATCTCTTTGCCAATCGCACAAACAAAAACCCAAACCTAATCATTCAAATCCCACCAAAACCTAATCCTTGAAACCCCACCCAAACCTAATCCCTGAAACCCCTTGTCTCAAACACCCAACACCTCTCTCTCTCAGATAGCCCTAAATGAAGTGCCTCGTAGCATCGAATCGACCTGCAACACCCCTGGGCGAGATCGAGAGTGGCAGAATAAGATATTTGTCAAAGAGCTGTGAAACAGAAAAGTAAAAACGGTAAAGCAAACAACACAGTCGAAAGAGAGAACCCAGCAATGATCGGTTCTACTTTTTATATTTCCATTTTAATGTACGAGCAAGGAAATGATAGTATATTTTACAGAGAAATATAAATATTGTTTTCAATGAATTAATATGATTGCAAATGTAATAGCTACATACAGTGAGGTAGGAGAAATGATGGAAGACGCACTGAAATTTGAGGTCCATAGGTTGAGAAGAGTCCATAGCATTGATCCATATATGGATATCTTGCACAGACCTACAGTTCAAGCTCCGAACAAAGTATCAATTTATCAGCAATTGTGACATTCATTATTCCTAAAAAAGTTATTGATTCACAAATAAACAAATGAAAGTAATCGAAAAAGTAACGCTTACCACATGCTGGCTAAATCCAAACTCAAAATGACCACAATATTTTCCCGGCGATGATTACAAAGAGATTGCTGCCTGGGACTTCTGTCCATCCCCTGAAAACAATGTCATGAATTTATTTATTGGATAAATGTTTGTGTACCCAAGAACTACACTGAAACAACCACAAAAATTCAATCTTCCAATGTAAAAATGATCTGCAACTAATAAAAAAATAATCGATTGGAAATCACATATAAACCCAAATTAAATCTGAACCCCACAAGCAAAACTAAAAAACACCCTAAATAGACAATCAAACAGAACCAAATGGGGGTTCAGATAAATTTTTTGTTATTGTTTCTCTCTTTCATGCAAGCTTACATCAGTAAAGGAAGCCAGAGATTTTAACCTTTTACCTTGGGTCTGAGATCCTCAAGTCGTGCACTCTCCAAACGGTTCTAGAAAGCAAAAAGCACTGTTTCCTGGAAAAGCACCAATATTCAGACATTTGCACAACTAATGGTGCACTAATTGAGTTCCCAACCTCTAAGGATGATAACTTCATCATATAGCACTACAGTTGAGCAAATTTCTTTCCGAAATTAAATTAAGAAAAATTTAACATTCACATGCCACAACAATTACACTGTTCCATGAAGTAATCTTACTATCACAGCCAAATTGACACAAAACATTTAACAGTCCTTTTGAAAACAAAATTCAACCCATTAATCATATACTCATTTAGCACTCTATATACAGATTACAGAATTTCAATAATTTTCACACAAAACATATAACAGTCCTTTTGAAAACAAAATTCAACCCATTAATCATATACTCATTTAGCACTCTATATACAGATTACAGAATTTCAATAATTTTCTGAAAACAACAAACCCAACAAACATGAAAAAAAATAAAAAAGTAACTAAGTTCCCACTAGCATAATCCATCAGAAACATACAAACTTGCACATGTTTAAGGACCATGAGAAAGAAGCAGGGTAGTTAAGCGTATCAATATTTGCATAAGATAAACCAACATTTGAAAAGTATAAGCAGACGGACCAACACAGAGAGAAAACACCTAAATTTACAGCAAGATGAAACCTTAATGGGAATTACACATTTCCATTGGACCCAAGGATCATACACCCAACACCAAACACCTCATCGTGATCAAACCAAACTAAACTTTCATTCAATTAAGTCTCAAACACTTTAATTAAGTTAAAAAGAACAGTCCAATTCTACCAAAACTATTTACAGAAACCAAGAAAAACAGAACAAACAGTGGTGCAAAGGTGTCACCAAACACCTCATCGTGATCAAACCAAACTAAACTTTCATTCACTTAAGTGTCAAACACTTTAATTAAGTTAAAAAGAACAGTCCAATTCTACCAAAACTACATACAGAAACAGAGAAAAACAGAACAAACAGTGGTGCAAAGGTGTATAATGACACTAAATCTTCAAATGAAATTAAAAAAATTATCCAAACCAACATAAAAGCCAAAGTTAACCCTAGCAACTGTAAAATAACAATTAAAACACGAAACCCATATAAGTTCATAACAAATTAAAACATCTAGATCAACATTAACATTAAATTAGCCACAAACCTAGATTAACCAATACTAAATTAGACTAAACAAATAACAAATAAGCTTCAAATCAAAATCCAAATCAAAAGTTTGGATAAAACTAACAACAAAACCACACCTTGTTCCTGTTCTGTCTCCCTTCTCTTGCTTTTCTCTTCTGCCTACTCCCCATATTAAGCCTTTTTTTCCTCATTTTTTCTCTGCTCACTTAACCCCCATTTTTTTTTCTCTTCACTTTCCTCAATTTCCAGTCTCTCCCCTTCTTCCACATCTATCTTTTTTTCCTCATTTTTTCCATCACTACTCTTGACACTAATTCTCCACTCTTTTTTATCTCTTAATTATTTCACTCAATCAAAACATGGGATCACATTTTCTCAAGCAGCCGAAAAACACTGACCAACCCAAAATCAGAAAAACATCCAAACTAACCATTGTCAAGCAGCAAACGATTAGAAATATAAAACAAAGAAAAAAGAAGAGAGACACACTAAACCATGCCATCGGTGAACACCATACCTTGGAAAGAGTAGACACACGCAGCTATTCGAGACCGATCCCACCGAAACACAATTTGTGAGCTTCCACAAAAAGGGGAGAAATCCAAATCTCAACCAATTGGCCCGTCGTTTGAAATTGAGAGCGCAAACAAAATCCCAAAATAAACCAAAAGCAGGGTTTCCTTGGTGGGTATTTTGTGAGAGGGAAAACGGAAGATTTGAGGGTGGGAGAAACGAAGAGAAAGGTGGGTTCGTGGTGAGTGAAGGGGTGAAAGGAAATCCCTGGAAATCAGCCTACCCCATACTTCTCCCTTACTCTTTCTCCCCAAACCCATATCTCCCTGCCGAAATCCTCTCCCCTACCCCCATACTCCCCCCTCTCTCTCTGCAACGGACAGAACTGTCCCTTCTCCAGTACGCGTCCAGCATATTTGAAGCTTGTCGACCATCACTACTTGGTTTGTAGGCTCCAAGGAGAGAGAAATGGGGAGCGGAGAGAAAGGAAGAGCCGAGGAAGATGAAAGACTATGGATTTTCCAGTAGAGAAGGAGAGAGGAAGAGTGAGAGATTAGCACAAACCTGAACTCTAGACCTCTGTTCACCAGAATCACTTCCCATTCCTAAAATTAGGCAAATTCCCAACAATAACAACAAAAAACCTTTTAGATTTCACTTTCACTTAATCATAGGCATCCACTCATACGTAACAAATGGAGAAATAAGCAAAATCACCTAGAGACAACACAGAGTCCACTGTTGAAGCTATATATAATCATTGAAGAAAAACCCTTTACGTCCAGCACAAAGCAAACTATAGTTGAAATTTCAACAAACCAAAATAATATGCAGATAAATAAATAAATAAATAAAAAGGTCGTACCCAGTGCACAAGGCTCCCGCTTTACGCAGGGTCTGAGAGAGGTGAATGTCGGCTAGCCTTACCCTCATTTATGGAGAGGCTGCTCCCAAGTCTCGAACCCGAGACCTACCGCTCATGGGCGAAGGCACTTGCCATCGCACCAAGTGCGACCTCTTCAGATAAATAAATAAATAAATAAAGGAAAAAAATAGTCAATTTCTTTTATGTCCAGCATTGGAACCATCAGAGATTGTGTAGCAACAATGCAGCAAACACCATCAGAGAATGGGGATAAACATAATAGTTATTTGCACATACCTATCAGAATAGTATAATGAAAACAACTAGACATGTAAATTCAAAGATCACGAACATGCTAAAAGTCAAAACTAAATTGCATAGCAATTAATGTCATTAATAAAAGGCCCGAATTCTTAGTCCACTCCGCTAAATTCGTAGGAGCTTTTGCTTTACCAATCAGAACCTTAAAACAAAACCTGTAAAAGTATGATAGCGATGAAGACCTGGTAAGTTTATTACATACTGTTTCAAATACAAATTGAGACTCATGGGAAAAAAAGAAAAAGAATCAAATATCATATTATATTCTGACAACACTCTGAGATGGTATGAAATCACCTCATCTAATTTTATGACAAATGGGTGAAACTCGTTAAAGAAACTCAACAATGGGTAGAATGTTTAAGTCTTATCTGATAAAAGAAGTGATGACGTTGTAGTTATTTCATCAGGAGGCGTTAAAACCATGAATCAAGAGGATTACAGACCAGGGATTTCAAATATTTAATTATAAGAAGACTTGTTTGCAATACAGAGAAAAAGCTTTTTATTGTTGATAAAAATGCACACGACACCATTGGATGTTTAAGTTGTACATAAGAATTGATTCCCCTGAAACAATCATTAATTCAAAAGAACCAAAATTTTGTTATGTCAATGCAGATTTAATGGGAAGTAGCACACATTGCCAACAAACTTGTGTAACGGTTTATTGTAGAGAGAGAGATAGTAGACAGTAAATTGAAAAGAAAAACAAAATTGGTTTTAGAGAAGCGACTTGTCAATTTCATATTCTTATCAGTTAATTTCATTAATCTCTTATAGTTAATTTACATAAAAAAATAGATGACAAATAAATACGCATAAATAGTTAAAATATCACTTCGCAGAATATAAACCCTATGAGAAGAAAATAAAAAGTAGAAAAGTCTCCCTTGAGTATAATCGACAAAACCACAACAAAGGTGGCTAATTATGGAAATATCATGCCTCATGATTCAAATTAATTTATCATAACCATGGTCTGTAACAGAGTGGAAATATCACGCCACATGATTCGAATTAATTTATCACGAATCTAAATTCTAAAAATGGTAAAAGTGAGAAAATATACCTATCAACCTGCTTGCTGTGCTTTGTGTAATCCAAGTTCCACTGTGTGACTGTCTGCAGAGCTGCATAACCTCCGTGGCAAACGCCCTGAAAAGGTTTAAATTGGCAGCAGATTGCCAATTAGAATTGAAAGGCAAAAATATCATTCCACATTTCCACTGTGCTACAAATTGACTACTAAATAGCAAAAAAATTCAAACTTGAGCTCCCAAGTTGTTTTTTTTGAAAATTTCAGGCAGATAGTGAAGAATCAAGATCGGTCCCTCGTAACTCAATTGAACCAAAACACCTTAGTAACACAGAAAACAATTTCTTTTTATGATATTGCGTTTTATATTTCTTTTGCTATTTGCGTACACCCAGCGATTGCAAAAATGATAAGTATATAGATGTTAAATAGTGGAAAATGAAAAGTGTTAGTAAACATTGAGTGGTATGGAACTTCAAGCAATAAAAAACTACGGATTTGATGCGAATGTTTGTGAAATGAATAAATTTGAGGTTAAGTTATACATAATGTATTTTTTTACTCGTAAAAATTATTCCAGAATTGCTTGGGGTTGCTTTGGTATTCAGAGTGATAAGGCATAGTTGGAATTTGAGTCAAAAGCTGATAGATTTTTCTCTGGAGCTGGTGCAGTGGAAGTGGTGTCATCAGTTAGATGTAAAACAGAGGACAATTAAAGGCACTAGTGAACATTGAATAATGTGGAGATCAAAATTAAAGATATTACATAGATGTGAAATAGACTTGCATTCATAAATAAGCAATAATGCCAACACGACACTACAATTTTAAAAACACACATCTTATCAAAATCAAACTTTCATGTGAGAGACAATTTTAAATTGGGTAACATTTAATGAGAATGTAAGGAAATCAGAGTACATAACTCATCTCTCTCTGCATAAATATTTAAATAACCAAATGCCAGTTATTGGAAAGCTGAATTACCTGGCCAAATTCTTCTTTTTATTCAAACAGCCATCTCCACTTGCTCTAAATAAAAAGGAGGGATTGTATGAACCACAACAATTGCCATCTCCACTTGCCCTGCATACAAAAGAGTAATAGTGTACAGAGACACTCTCATTTTTGCCTACATATAAAGAGTAATAGTGTACAGAAACGCTCTTATTTTTTGGAATTCACCAAATGGAAAATACATGTATATACATTATAAAACTTGACTCGAATGCATGAAAAGTACCAATCTCTGGTTTTTTTTTTTTTTTTTTTTTTTTTTTTTTTTGTCTTTTCGCAACTTGCCCCTCTTTTTCCGTCTTTATACATTAAGGAAAGCAACACATCAAGGAGTTTTTGAGGTCTTCCTATTCATTTGGACAGTGCTATTCTCCGTCTTTATCAAGCAAACACTATAAACCTGCAATTAACAAAACAAATAGTGTTAATTCAAAAAAAAAAAAAAAAAATAAATACATGCATAAAAATTAAAAAAAAAAAAAAAAAAAACCCAAACATGCAGGAACAAAAATTAAATAAAATCAAACACCACATCAATCCAAAACCCAAAATATTTTTCATTTCTTTTCCTCCAATCAGACCCTGCAAATCCAAATGGATATGGCCCCAGAAGAGCTCCAATTTCTCAACATCCCAGTCATACTCAGAGAATCCACTGCCACCCCCAAACAGTCTTCTACCTCATAACCCCATTACACACTTTTCAGCCCATGATAACAAAAACAATCATCGATCAGATGAGAATTTACACAAACCATAGAAAACCTACGAAAAAATAACTAAAACCCAATTATATTAAATAAAAAATTTGAAGCAGATCTTACATGAAATAGAAGGCACCTGAGGCGCTGAGGAATAGTTTAAGACCAACATCAACGCTGACCTGACCGGAATTGTTGGAAAACTGAGGACATTTCAAAATTGTTATGTTGGTTTTAGGATTAGATTAAGACTTAAGAGTGAGAGAACTTGTAGAATTTGATTTATTGGTTTGAGGGCTTGAGGTTGTTTTCTTATTTAATGCAAAGAAAACTTGAATCAAATGCCAAACAAAAACCCCAAAATCTTACCTGATGACAAATCAGAGGGAGAGCTTTTGGGAATAAGGATCGGAGAGGATTTGGAGGTGGAATCTGCTGACGCTGGGGTGAGTGAAGATGATGTTGCAGTCCAGGTGTCAATCGACGATGAAGACACCACCAAATTCTGCCCATCTCAACAGAATCCAACAGTTGAGGATTTCTGCAATTTGTTGGTTTCAAGGTTAGATTAATTGTCAGAGAAACTGTAGAAATGAATATGTTGGTTTGAGGGTTCGAGTTTTTTTGTGATGATTGTAGGCAACAGAAGAGATGAAGTGGTGAGCAACAGAAGTGGTGAGAGTGCAACCAGGAAGAGAGTAAACAGAAAAGGAAAGCAACACTGAATTCTTCTTGACTACCTATTTAGTGAGTTCTTGGACCTATTTAGAGAGTTACTGGAATGAAATGAAGCCAACCCTGCAACAGAGAAACAAACGAAAAAGTCAAAATCCAGAAATCCAAGTTTAACTCAATCAAATAAAATAACCAATCAAAGTTGCACACTGCAAATTCTCGCAATGTAAACTTGTTTCTCAAGGACAATTGCTCTCTCTCTCTCTCTCTCTCTCTCTCTCTCTCTCTCTCTCTCTCTCTCTGAATACAACATTTCAAACCAGACAATAATTAATAAAATAGAAAATTGAAGTACCTGGTAAGTTTTTCTTTTTATACAAACCGTCATCTCCTCTTGCTCTAAGTAAGGAGGAAGTGTGTGATCCACCCTTCATTCAAAACATCACAACATCTGCACTTATATAAAGGAAAAAAAGAAATGGACCAAAATAAAATTATACTATATCCGATTATACAGAAGGCCAAACTCTTGAGTTGGGGCTGGTGGCCGTCGACCACATCATCTCCTCCATTTGAGAGAAAAGGGTTTGTTTGGCTCTTTTGTCCAATTATTTACATTAACCATATCCAAATTAAGAAGGAAAACACCATGATCAATACCTATGTTGCTCCCTTCTTGTGATCCAAATTTGAAGAAGGCCGATGGGGAGGGGCAGTTATAAGTGTCATCCTCTTTGTTTCTCCTATCCCTGCATTGTCGACCAAAACAACATCAAACCAAGTGCAATACAATCCAATATAATGCTCAAAAAATTTGAGCTCCAAACAAAGTCACAGGTCAGCAATCACCTAATCGATCATAACACCATCGCAAATATGAAAAACATAAACAATTAAGTCAGCAACATGATATGCCATCCCTTTCATACAAAACACAGATTGCAATTCAGATACGCCACATTATTTACAAACAATTACAAATCGAGAAACAATTAAATCATCATCATGAATCGCAGTGCAACATGAACACCATCAATTAGAAAAGACAGAGCTACATGGCAATAAACATAGGAACTGCTTCAGATCCTTCCCAAAAGCAATCTTCCGCATGATAACAAAAGTGTGGTTGACCTCTGATCTAATTGCAGACACAATCTGCACAACCAACTTCTATGGAACTTGTGAAATGTGGGGTGGAGACCTGAATGTAACAAATTAGTGTTAAGTGAATAATCCAAACATATAAAATTTAGATCATCACACCCGAATGCAAACAGAACAATTAAATAAAGAATCGAAGCCATACGCAATCTAATTAGACAAATAAGTGAACTTTCCCATGCCGAAATCCGAAAGGCCAACAGAAATCTCTCATTACAGCACAGAAGACAAAACTTAAAAACAAAACTTAAAGGACAAATCTTAAAACTAATCAAAATTAGGTGAACCAATTATAGAGAACATAACCCTGGTAACCAATCGGGAAAAGATGCTTTTAAATCCCAGGAAAAAATTAAGAGGAGTTTTTAAAAAATCATCATTTCAATTATTTTTCAATCTTACATTTGGGATTAAACAGAAAATATAACTAAAAATGCCAACTTTCTCAAAAAACTACAACTATTTTTACAAATTTCCATTACCCAACACTGAAAAATGAGAATCACGAAGCAACGAAGAGCCGAACACACAAGAACCAAAACGTTAAAAACAACACGTACCCATTTCAAAGACCAAAAATCCTACAAGGACAAAAAAAATCCCAGAAAATCAGTACATCAGCACTACCTGCAAAACGCCAAAAATCAGAAAATTATTAAAAGAACCCAAAATCAGTGGCATGGTACTCGTTTCTCCATCATTCAGTAGCTAATGACCTAATGAAAAAGAACCCAAAACAGACAGCTTAAATTATGGAAAGTGCTTATAAAGCTCATGAATAAGTTTGAGCCTGCATAGATATGGTATAGCACAGATAACAACAGACAATAAAACTATGCACATTATAACCTAAATCCGATATGTTGCATTCCACACACACACATATATGTCTACATATATATATAGATGGCCCACAGAGATTAACATCATGCGAAGGTGTGCACGCGAACACACATAAAATATACATGCATACTTAATTTTTCAGACAATAATACCACACAACATAAGTTGCAAGCTGGGACTATTTGGTTGACTCAAAAGAAAATGATGGGTTAGAAAAAGCCCAAAAAAATTGAAAGAAGAATGTTCGTTCATCTCTTACGTCAACAGGGGGATGAATGCCCCTGCAAAAGACAACAAAGCAATCCACAATTATCCAACAAATAAGCACAATTTCTTGCCATTCAGTAATTATATTCATATCTACTACAGCGCTAAAAAGTAGATTTTTTCATGGCCTTGATGCTGAACAGTGAAATGAAGGGTGGATACCTATTTTCTGCATCTTTAGACTCAAGGGCAAGAGAAACCTGCCAGTCCTCAAACAAATTAGGACACTCTTGCGGATCGGCCAATGATTCTGGAGCTTTTTTATTGACCTGCCATATTGCAAATTAAAATTACAAAATTAAAAATACTTGGAATAGCCAAATATATGCAAAAATATTTCCTTGCTTCAATTCAATTGGTCGATAAAGTAGAAGACATAACAATTTTTCTTTGTTATGACTTCTACATCTCATATATACACTTCACTTGAAAGAAAAGCATCATGTTCATGAATCAAGAAAAACACTGCAAAAGTCTAACCTTGTTCAGGTCATTTCTCCAAATTGAAACTATCTCTGAAACTTTTGCTTGGTAGGTAAGATCGTGCCATCAAAGCTACTTCAGGTATCCGTCCACTCTAATGAAAGATAACGAAACCCTATAAAGCAGAACACAAAAATTAGACAAAACCCAAAAACTAAACAGTAAAAAAAAAAACCCTAAAATGAAAAAAAAAAACTGCAAATATTCTATATATCATATAATGAACTGCAACCCATCAATCATTTCCCAAAATCAACTGCAAATCACAAAATTACTTACCCCAAATCGGCTGGAGAACTCACCAGCAGACCAAGGCTTTTCTGGGCTTAAAATTTCGTGCAGATCATTTGCACCACTTGCTCACCTACCCAAGGGCCAAGTGGTATAGACCAGCCAACTAATCAGCCCAAAAGTACTTTATAGTGGCAGTACAAGTAAATAGCTGATGAGTCACTATCCTTCAAAACTGCATTCGGGCAAGATTATTGCTACATGAGGCCAGGCCAAAGTGTCTATAAAAGGAGAATGAGAAATCAAAGTCAAGGACACTCAAACAAACAAATACAAGCACAAACTCTGCTCAAAGCCAGATTTGCCTTTAAAACGAAGCTGCAGTCAGCCCAAGCCTTCATCCCTTTCGGGATAAACCCTTTGTAATAGCTCTGCTACCCTGTTCAACTCTTGCTGTAGTATCGATTTCTTTCTGTAAACTCACCTCCCAACCCCTTTTCTAAGCTTTCAAATCTCCTGATAAACCACAAAGATAGGAAGTTGCAAGGCGATCAGCCTTGCCCGACCCTCTTTGCTTTTGTCTTTTCATTCATTAGCCTAGCAATATGTTGGATACTACAAGTTGTATCCTACAAGTTGTATCCAAGTTATTTCTAGTAATATGGCTATTAAAAGACTTTCTCAGCGCTTGAATCCGATTTGAATATGTCTTCACAGTTCAAGCCAGATCTAAGTTCTAAGCCCTCGGGCATATAAGATTTGATCACTCTAAAAAGTCCTTGGCCTCAAGGCATAAAAAAGAACCTGATGTGGACTGAACCCATCCACGACAATCTTTGATAACAAGAAGTCCGAAGTTACTTGAGGCGCAAGTAATCGACCTGTCACTTAGTTTTATTTCTGTTATATTATGATTATCATATAACGTTCGAGTACGGGATGAATTCTGATGGAAAGCCTCAAGGCCCATTCAAGGCCCCACAAAGGCACCTATTTGGATTCATCCTATTTCTCGACGCGAGAACATTGAGTATAGAAGGAGTTCTGATGGGAAGCCTCAAGGCCTAGTCAAGGCCCACAAAAGCACCTATTTGGATTCATTCTGCTCTTTGGGCTCAGGTAATCAGAAATATAATGGTTATAAGTAGGGGTGGTTCGGTATGGGATCCCATACCGAAACCCTTGTCCCGATTCCCAAACCGAAATTTTCGGGAATCCCAATTGCAATACCGATCCCAAACCAAATTTTCGGGAATCCCAATTTTCGGGAATCCCGAAATAGTTTCGGGATTTCGGGACAAATCGGGAATCCCGAAATGGTTTTGGGCTTTTGGACTAAAATTTGACATATTATGCTTTTGGGCTAAAATTCGATCTTTTATATTGAAAAATTGACATATAGGCCTATTAAAAAGAAATCTGCCTATTCAATACTTTCATAGCATCTGCCCAATCTGCCAATTTGACATAGTTTCATACTTTCATTGCATCTGCCTATTCAAAAGCAATCTGCCAATCTGTCTGTGCACAATAGCATCTGCCTATTCAATTTCTACTACACATGCATGCAATAAAAATAAATTAAGTACCAAATCCAAAAGCAAAAATATTAGCATTCAACATAGAAATATATTCCGAGCAAATAAAAACCAGCTCGTTTCTAATATAGAGGATGGCAAACCTACAGACTTTGTAACGTCATGTCTTTTTTCTACTAATCTGTGCACAAATATGCCAATTAAATGGCAAGGCCCAGTTAAGTATCTGCCTAGAATATGCCAATCTGTGCACAGAATTACAAAACTTGATTTGCTATCAAACATTAAAGCAAGACCATGTATCTAAGATTCTATAGCCAAAACAAAAAATATTACCTGACGCAGCGTGTGACTAATTTGAAGTTTGAACAGGTGAAATGATTAACTCCTCAGTTGCTACAGCAGTGCTAAACCTGCTAACACTTCTCCCTGAAGATAACCAGGAAATCAGTCAGCATAGATAATCACTTGTAGTAGTGCTTAATAATTTTCTTTGTTGATTAATGATCAATGATAGCGGTTTAATTTATTACATGTAAAGGTGCACCAGTGAACGCTTAATTCAATGATGTGTGTGCAGGTGTAAAGAGATTTACTTATTGTCGCAAGTAAGACTCCAAGAAAAAAGTATAACTTCAATCTATTTCTCCAGAGTGTAAACTCAGGGGTATTATTCTCATTAAACCCTTTGTTAGTTAAGGTATCGCAACAAAAGTGCAGTTCATTAAGAATTGAGTTGAAATTCTCCACTTCCAAGCTATGATATTAGAGCCTAACAATTTGAACTAGCCATCTAGAAAGTTGAAGAGTTTCCCTGTAAGTATTATGTGAACATGAAATTAATGGACTAACACAGCGCCTAGTACCAACATTCTGAATGAAGCGAGCAGGATGCAACCAGAAACAACTTTAACCCCCCTACAACCCGCCAAAACCAAATACATAGCATCAAACACGGGTGCCGCAGCGCATCATCAATAAAAGAAACGATTTTTTTTAAAAGAATACGACAAACTCAATCAAACATCATTTTAATTATTGAATGACTACTAACTAACAGATGAAGATGGAAGAAATGTATAAGTTATTAACACACAAACAAAAAAAATTGCCAACGGCATGAATAAATTAGGCCATCAGCGGGTCTATAACCGGCCTCGAGCCCTTCAACAATCCCTACTTTGGATGAGTGTCAGAAATTAGATTTCAAAACACTAAATTAGTTACCTAATTTGGGGTGAGAGTGAGACTCGGACTCGGTGCTAGATCGAGAGTTCTGTCCGTGAGAGAGAGATCGCAAGAGTCGGAGACGATTCGTGAAGGAAGGCTGGAGAGTTCAGTCTTTGATGCTTTGGCGTGGCGGTGGCTGGGTGGTGATTCGTGAAGGAAGGCTGGGCGGCTGGAGAGTCAGAGACGATTCGAAGGAAGGCTGTCGGTGTTGGAAGGCTGAGTGAGAAATCAGAAATGAAACTAGACTGGGAGAAACCTAACAAGGAATGGATGGCATGGATTAATTTGAAGCAATCCAACGGTTCAAATTAACTCTAACTATAATTAAAAAAACAATATATATTATTATCTATATATATATATATATATAAAATAATTAAAAATATATATTTTCGGTTCGGTATGGGAATACCGAAATATTGGAAAGGCAATCCCGATTCCCATACCGAAATTTTGGTATTTTTTCGGTATGGGAATACCGAAATTTTGGGAAAATCGGTTTGGGACATTTTTGGTTTGGGATCGGTATTTTTTTGGTTTGGTTTGGGAATTTTGGGAATTTTTTCCACCCCTAGTTATAAGACTCATATAACCAAGAAAAGGAACCGTATGTGTTCGAGTATTAAGTTAGTTATTTATGGGAAGCCTTAAGGCCTACACCTAAGGCCCCACAAAGGCACCTGTCAATAACTAACATAGTTTCTCGAATATATATAATTAAAACTCAAACATCCGTTCTACATCTGCCATGCTGAAGATGGCAGTGGCACGCCTGAGCACTTAAAAGTTAATCTTGATTGTGAACCTCAAGGCCTACACCTAAGGCCTCACAAAGGCACATTTCAAAGTTAACTATGTCCTTCTCTTTCAGCCTTGCCCGACAGGCTTTGCCCGACAAGCCCGCCAGTAAAGCAGAAGCGACAGAAAGCATCAACCGGCGCCAACCTCTCGGGGAGCTGTGTGCTCGTCGGCCAGGAAGCATCCCCCACGGAAATTCCCGCCACGAACAGGCTGATTGCGAAGTGACGTCCCTACGGTTGTAATGGCAAGCGGAAATTTCTTATAGTGGTTTATTATCTGCAGTCCAATTGTCCCAAATAAGGTGAATAACTATTTACAGATATGGTAAAATCTACGGTTCACTTGCGTGCATGGGTGATTGTGTAGTGACATTTTCTATAAGCAGGAATGCATAAATAAGGGCATATACGTTAGAAACTCAAACTAATAAATCACCTCTTTCTGAAGATGATTTGGTATGTTACAACTCGTATTTGGCAGGAATGCTCCACGACGAAAAAGAGTCAGTGCATCTTCATCTGTCAATGGTTGTAAATTATATGGAGGCCCGAATTTCGGAAAATGGTATCTTGATGTCACCAAAATCTTGTAATCTGGAATTTTGATTTCATCAAACCTGTCAAGAAGGGATTCTGATGCAGAAGGAACATCATCCAAGATTAACAGCAAAGGATTTTGCCCTGCTTCCCTTAAAAATAGCGGCAGCCAGCTAAATGCAATTTCTTCTTTTACTAAAGCAGGTACGCTGAATCCGGCATGTTGACACAAACAAGGTAGCTGGGCTTATTGGAAACCGTGGCAAAGAAGATATTGTGCTTGAATTTATCTAGCCAAGAAAACACATAGGAATGTAACATTACTAATTAGAAGAAAAAAGAGAAAAGAAATGATATCATTAGTATACAGGTAGCAGTCATTCTACGTTTTGATTAACTGTCCTTGTGGACTAACTATCGACCATGCATTGACAATTGTAAGTGTGCTATATCAATTATATCAACAATATCGAGTGTGCGTATCTTAAAAATGTTTGCCGCATCGTACAAAAACTTTATGGATAGATACCTCTGACTTTGTTGATCATAACAGAACATAGTTGCCAAAGTGGTCTTCCCACATCCTCCCGGAGCAGTGAGCACAAGCATTGACAGCGCGTCGTCTCTAAGGAGTTTCATCTTCATCTCCGCCAAAGGCGCATCCAGTATAAGCGTATTGCTTGGAAGGTCAGGAACTGCACACCAAGTTGGAATAAGGTTTTGGTTTTGATTTTGAGCCACAAGATTGCATCAATTCGGTTGAGCACCACCGCGGAATTAACTTCTAACTGCACGTTCAGCAGAGGCAAGAGTCTTTGAAGAGATTTGTCCCATTTAACAATTTTTTTAGCATATTTAGCCTTTTCAAAGAAGTTGAAAAAAACCAGCGGTGTAGATTAACTTGGAATTTGGAAATAAGCACTTTCAAATTTATGTTATATAATAATAGTAAATGGCAACATACAATAATATAATATCATTTCTTAATTTTATGTTTATTTAAAGATAACTTTAACTAAAAACTCTTATTTTAACAAAAAAAAAATCATATTTTTACACTAAAAAGTCAATCATGGTACTATTCACTTTACCCTTTATTTTGTTCTTGTCGTTAAAACTCAAAGTTTACAAGTCATTTTCATTAGTTTTCCTTTATTTAGGGAACTAAGCTTATTATATTAACATTCCACGTATTATTGAATAAACCTTACGTATTTAATATACCCTACATTTACTTTTCCAATCAAAATTTATATATACTCACACATATTTTTCCATAATACATTTACACTCCACACTCTCAACATACGTCTTACATTGGTCCCCTACATTTTCTACATACACGGATACACCCCACACTCTTCACAATGATTTCTTTATTCTTCTTTTTGGTCTGTGCTATGTACTGTTTGATACAAAATCATTCATGTTTAGCAAGGATTTGCTAATGTTTTTTCTATTGTTTAGCAACAAGGATTTGCTCAACTTCTTTTTAACTAGTGAACGTTGATAAGTGAGGGGGTGTATCCCAAAATGATAATTTAGGATATGTATAAGATGATGATATGAGGAATGACTGGATGTATCTTACTAGCATTCTGTAAATTAATGGCACCCCATCCCACCACTGGATTTTTTATCCTTTTTGCTTCTGGACTTCCGTTTTCCGTCCCGTTTTCAATGAATCAAAAAGGTAAATTACACATATGTGGTACGTGCTGTGTAGCACCAAAGATTCGGGTGTCCTAGGAATCGTTTCCTATGAATTGCAAGGAGATTTCGTACGATTTAAATGAAAATGGCTACGGTTTATTAGGTGTGTGATCCTCCTTACCAATCATATGTTTTTTTCAAGGAATATTATTCATAACTATATATAGGCATGTTGATGCCGTTGAAATCAGAGTTTCATTATTCAAAGTTTTGTTCTACAATAAAGAGTGAGAGTGGTTTTAAGAGTTGAAGAAGGCAATGAATCTTATCGGGATATAAACATTAAAAGTGATTTTGGATGTATTTAGATTTTTTTTTTAACCTTAAATTGTCATTACATATTAGTGTATATAAGTTATTTAATATCAAATTTTAATGTGGGGTGTATTCAACATTGTGTAGGATGCTAATAAAAAACAACCTTATTTAAATTACTTGGTAATGTCTTATTTTCATCCTTTTCCTTTAAACTCTCACATTATATTCTCTCTTTTTTTTTAATAGCATAGTATTTCATATTATGTATTATATAGTAATTAATTAATTTCAACTAAATCAGCCTAGTTCGCTTAGGCGTCCGCCTTGGCGCTAGCTCTTGTCTGTCGCCCAACTAACGTCTAGTGTCTTTTAGAACTATGAAAAATACAAACCGAACGCATTGCAAAATGATACAACTTGAAGAGAAGATAAGCAAGAATATATCACATTTGACATATTTGAGGTATCTAATTGAGTTCAAAGAAATTGATGAAAACTATATTCCAAGAAACTAGTGAAATTTTATCGTGACAATTAAATAGGTAAATAGATTAGGATTGAATTGAATTGTTGCAATGATTGTATATGAATCGATACTTGCAAAATAGATGGTTCAGATCGATGTGGAGTGAGTCCTACAACTAATTCTCATTTTTTAAATGAGGATCCCTTCCCTTAAAGTTCCTAAAACATGATGTATGAAGTCTTTAAGGGAAGGGATCCCCATTTTTATTTTAACAAACGATAATATCAACACTAAGGGCGAGAGGGCGGGCGTAGTCTCACAATGGGTTAGCAATAATATGGTTCAAATTCGTCTTTGGCGAGAATATGATGTTCATTTAAAGCTTGGACAATCTGACCCGCTTGAATTTCCAACTTGCTTAATGGTTGGAGTGGTTATGAATAATGCTACTCATTGATTGTTGAAATTGCAAATTGTTTTAAGCAAATAGCTTCAGAGTGTCCTCCAAAGAAGTGTCAAATAAGTCCTGTTGTGGTAGAGGTTCAAATGTTTGATTTTGAGCTTCTATGTTGTTGCAAGAGTCATGATAAGGATTCTTCCAAATAGGGCTATATGTGTTTGACAATGGATGTATTGGCCTTTGGTTAGAGAAACTCAAGAAGTGTGAGTGCTCTCGAACAAATGTAGGAAACTCATCTCTTCTTGAGTAGAATTGAAGAGGATGACCGGTCTTGGCACATAATTGACATCCACCAGACATCTTTTTATACCACCTGAAATCAAAACAAAAAAAAATAGTATATGAAAAATCTAAACTAAGAAAATAAAAACAGAAAGGGTTTATAAAGCAAGCAATTAGAGGGGATTGAAATCAGTCCCTGGCAACGGCGCATAACATCATTGGCATAAGTTAATTTGATTTCGGTGCCACAAGGTGAAGAGCTCAAGAGGAGTTGCCACTTCGTGAAGACCGAAGGAATCCATCTCATGAAAGGCAATCGCACAAAGGTACAAGCTACTCCGTAGATTAGGATCTAAGAATTGAGCATGTGTAGTTACTTTGTAAGAATCTTGTCTCACTAGTGGATTAGACTCAGTGGAGAGTCCCCCATTTTTTAACTCAAAGGTGGGTTTTTCCAACCAAAAACATCCAGTGCAATTTATCACTTTTCTAGTTTTCTTATCTTACCCTTTGCTTGTGATACATGTTCAACATTATTTGCAAAAAGATAAGTCCATGCAACTAAGCTTGTCATAGTTAAAATGTGTAAAACTGGAACTTAGTTAACTTGGAACATTTTAGTAAACTGAGTTTTAATTTGACTATTTCCGCTGTGAGTAAACTGAGTTTTACTTGGAACATTTTAGTAAACTGGAACATTTTAGTAAACTAAGTGTTGTTGACTAGTCAGACAATCACGTATATAGATTTTAAATTGCAGGTTATTTCACATGGTGCCAATTTCACAATCAAACTAATAAACTTGTCTTAAGATTGTTGGAAAAATTAGGAACTAAAAATCTATAACCATTAGTCTCTTAACTCATCAAAA